CAGAGGATAAATGCCAAAGAAGCCCAGAAATCACCTGTTGAAAGCTCACCTTAGCAACCCAAAGTCACAAGCTGAATTCAGGGTAACCAAAACCTCACAAACAACACTTTCAACTGAAGGACACAAGGGGTCTAGTCTTGGCACGCTAGCCTAATCAAGCACAGCAAGAACAAGAGGGGAAAATATGCATTTAATTATTGAGAATAGTTCAAGCACAAGAAAAGGGCGATTAACTCAGAGGATTGGTGCTGTCCCCTTTTATACCTTTCTTGACCAGGTAGTAGAGGTTCATTGGTTTAGAATTCCTGCCACATATTCTGAGTAGTTCATTTGAATTCTGGTGACTCTTGCTCTTACTTGGGAGGCTGAGCTACATGGGAGGCTGGGATCTGGTGCACCAGCAAGGGATTTCTCACTCCTTGCCTATGTGACTTGGCTCTGGTTCCACTGATCTCACTGGTATGAGGTCATCATTCATTTGTTCTAGCAATCTGGCATGCCCAAGCAATTCCTTCAGGACTGCGTACATATCACTGTGAAGTTCACACACACACCAAACCCACCTACGATACTGTCCCTGCAAAAAGGGATAGTTTGTCAAGGTATGCTACCCCATATCACGTGCAATGCTTACAGGCTGCATGAGGCCTGGGAAACTGTCAGCTTGGTAGGTCTCCATTACAGAAATCCAAACTAAATGTTGTCTTAAATGCATAGCCATGCCAGTGCTTGCTTTCTACCCCAAAACTACTGTGAGAAATCTGATCTGCTTCGGGATTCATGTGTGTGTGCGTGTGTGTGTGCAGGTATAGAGGGGGGAGACTCTGCTCAAGATCACATTCACACACACCCCAGCTACAACTTGCATTTTCCAAAATTCCCACTGAAATACTCATTGGATTGATATGTGTGAAGGATCAGGGGCAGTTTAAGGCATTTTACAGGCTGAGGTGAAGAGATGGCACCTCTTCCCATTCCATTCAAAAAATTCAACTAGTATAAAGATTTGGTTTCAAAATGATGGGACAGCATCTTTCCCTGCACCAGAAGGCAGCCAGCTAATTTAGAAGGCCCAACACAGACTGCATAGCACAGTTGTCTCTTCATTCTCTGAAGATTAAACATTTTAGATGCTTACATTTAAGCCATACATTGCAGATCCCCTGGTTATGTAAATACCTCTGTGGATATCCCAACCATGTAAAGCAGTATTCACCTTTTCTGTAACCAAGGACAACTTGATTTTATATTACTTTTAGAAAAAGAGTTTAAACAAGTTTCTTTGTTACTGCTGCCACATTTGCAATGGTGGTATTTTCAACCCCAGTATGTTGATATAGCCCTCGCCTTTCTAACAGAAATATTTCTTTCCCATTCCATGCATGCAGTGATTTCAACTCTGACAACTGGCCTTAAAAGTGGACCATGATGATTTCAGACAATTACATTATTGATCAAAGATCAAGAGCAAACCAAGGATTGGATGGTATCCCATAATCTATGTGATTCATTGCACAGTATATTGTGAAGTAATGAATGTATATAGAAGTTCTTAATCACCCACAGACTTTGCCTTCATCGAAAGGATGTTTTATTATCACAAGAAAATAACCTGAGAACAAGAAAAATGTTTTAGAGCAAAAATCCTTCTACATATTTTTGAAACAGTTGACCTCTTTGTCAATGACCACCTTGATGTAAATGCTTTCTCTTTTCCTGGTAATACCTTTTCAGCACCAGCATTTAACCAATCATATATACTTACATACAAACACTTTTCAGAAACACAAAGCCCTTTTCATTCAGTATCTTGAAGTAAAATGATACTAAGCAAAAGTTCTCAAACTCTCCAGGACCTTGCTTGTGAGAGCTGAATCTGACGGAAGTGAAGCTTGGCACAATTGATTGACAATTCCTGGTATCCTTTTGTATTTATATCCTTGAAAATTGCTAAGTACTTCACCTCAGCTATTTCCTGAAGGTTCCATAATTCAGGTTTTTTCAGTTTATCTAAACACCTTGATGCTGGTGGGAGGATCACTCAGGCTTCCGAAATGCTGGAAGAATTTTCTAATGCAGAGATTTAAGACTAGTTTACAAAAATGGTGCCCATGAGACCAACTAGGCACCCTGCCTTTCCTGTCTGTAATTTTATTTCTTAAGATTATTTTTAAATAGCCTTTTGAAGTATTCTGCAAAAAAGGTGCTGACCTTTATTTGGGTCCACCTCACCTGCCTTGTGCTTTGGGTTTTGGTCTTGTTACTTTTCTATTAGTCTCACCAGTTTGTCTGTTATAATAGCTCAGGTACACAATGGAAGCTGTTTTATAAAAAGCAAGCCCCTCCATCGCAGCCATTTTGTGAGAGTGCCCATATTTTATAGAATCATAGAATAGTAGAGTTGGAAGGGGTCATGAAGGCCATTGAGTCCAACCCCCTGCTGTTGCAGGACACCAACTTACACCATCCCACTCAGATTTTATTATTTATTAATTAATTAAAAGCTCTCGTATACCATTCATTCAATGATGGGTGTCTGAATGGTGCACAGCAAGAATAAAGACCATACAAAAAGCAGGACAAAGTATAAATGAATCTGGTGTCAATAATAGCCCTCAAAATTCAATATAGCACAACAATTAATGTATAAATAATAATAATAATAATAAACATCACTAAAATAATAGTTAATCCACAGTAGAAACAATGACAATTAAAATAAAAAACAGTTGAAAATCAGATAATGTTATTTAACTATTAAAATACTGGGAAAATAAAAATGTTTTTGTTCTGGTGCTGAAATGCATAAAGGGTCAGCACCAACTGTACCTGTCTGGGGAGCAGATTCCACAGTCAAGGTGCCCTTCTTGGTTGGCCACCTTCCTTACTTCTTTTCAAGGTGGCTCCTGGGAAAGGATTTCCATAGATGATCTTAAGGTCCTGGTAGGTGCATATGCCAGGAGACATTCCTTTAGATATCAAGTCTTAAGCCATATCAATGGCCACCAGATAAGTTAGTCAGGGGTACAAGAGCATCCTTGCTTCAGGAGATTTTAGCAATAGCTCCTCACCAAAATTGATTTGATTCATTTTCAGTACAGTTATACACATGCCTATTCAGAAATAAGACTGACTGACTTTGACAGGGCTTATTCTCTGGTAAGTGGATGTAGACTAGCAAGCTCAATATAGCTATACACCGAGTAGAGTGATACCAATAATTTTACCTGCAATTTTTATTTTATTTCATTTTTCGAACTGAGTCACAGGAGGCTGTTGAGATCTCTTCTCATCCTTCCTTGAGGGGGGTAAATAACTAGCCTGCCACCTCTTGGTGCATCAGTGCCAAGGATGCAGGGCTGTGTTGAAAATGTGTGCATTCTTTGCCACAATTGCTGGCATGAGATGAATGCTAAGATGCATTTTGGCAGCTCGGGAATGGGTTTTTCTTCAACATCATTCTAGCTACATCATTCTAAAAACCACTACAACAAAAGTATATTTATCTACTTAAAGAGTAGCCAAGTAGCAAAAAAATGGAAAAACTAGTCCTTGTAGCCTGTAAGACAAGCAGGGGAGATGGGAGAAACAAAAGCTAATTTGCTTGCAAGCGAGCCTGAGATATTTGGCTGCCTGAGATGAAGAAATACCACCTCCCCCATAGCCAAGATGCTACTGAGGTGCTGCATGAAGGAGTATTTCCTTTTATTTGGCATCAATCTTCCACCCAGTCAGCTTCATTTAGCATGCTGAGCCAGCTGCCGATTCTGCAACCGTAGGGCCAGCCCTGTTGGCAAGCTCTGGAGTTTGAGAACTTCAAAATGGCAACAAGTTCATCAGGCAGCCCAGGACCAGCAGGGAAAACAGCCTGGGCAAAGGGGTTGTGGAAGGGGCAAAACACCAGAAGAGAAAATGAGCAGAAAAGAGAGTGGGCTATAATGAGGAGCTGAAGGAGTGAGAAAAAGCTGCAGCTCAGATCAATTTCAGATGAGATGCTAAGTGTGGACAGAGGAGCAGGGGTGAATAAACACTGCAGATTTTATTTGATTTTGCAACAGTAATATTAAAACACATTTACTGTATAAAGACCTTTACGTAAAAATGTGTTAGTCAGAAAACACACACACAACACAACCATTTCCTTTCAATTTACAATAACACAATTAAATGTAGAAAATATGCTTTTAATGAATGAGCCTGAAGAATACTCAACAAATCAGAAAATTTGCATGGATTCATTAACTCCAGCTGCAGAGGGTTCGCTAATGAAAAGTGTTTAACTCTAGAGCAGTCTAACACAATTAATTATATTCATTAAATGTGTAGCATGTATAGCATTAATTCAGAAATGCATCATGATGAGGGTGAATGTGCTATTAGACAACTAGAAGTTAATTCTGAGATCCCTGTTAACCTTGTTTTAATTGTCTCATTTTTGAAAGAAACAGATTGTACATCAAAAAGTTCTGAGGTCTCACATGAGAATGTTCAACTTCCAGAAAGAAAGGATGGATCTAATCTGAAGTAAAAGAGTACTTGACTTGTACTCTCCATGTTAAGCCTAGGTCTCTCACCAAGAAGATATCCTGTGGTCTTAACTTTTGCCAGGAGAAACAAAGGATAAACTGCAGATCTAGAAACATAGAATAGCAGAATAGGAAGGGACAAGAAGATCATCATGTCCAGCCGCTGCTCAGTGAAGGACTCTAAGTTAAACCATCCCTTTCAGATGGCTGTTCAGTTGCATTTTGAATACCTCTAATGTGGGAGAGCCCACAACCTCAGTAGGTAATTGGTCCCATTGTCAGACTGCTCTAATAGTCAGGAAATGTTTTCTCATATCTAGCTGGAATCTGGCTTCTTGTAACTTGAGCCCATTATCCCATTGCACTCTGGGATGATCAAAAAGAGATTCTGTCCTTCTTTGTGACAGCTTTTCAAGTACTTGCAGAGTGCTATTAAAACTCTCCTCAGTCCTTTCTTCTTGAGTCTAAACTTGCCCGGTTCTTTCCATCTCCTCTCTCAGGACTTGATGCAGCCACATCATCTTGTTGACTCATGTTCACTTTGTGATCTTCAACAATTCCAAGATCCTTTTCATGTGCAGTACTGTTAAGACAAGTATTCCCCATCTTGTAACTATGTGTTTGGTTTCTTTTTCTCAGGTGCAGAATTTGGCATTTGTCCACACTGAATTTCTTTCTGTTGTTTTCAGCCCAGCACTCCAACCTATCACACTCCATCATCCTGAATCATCTTTCTGTCTTCCAGGGTATTAGTATCCCATCCAATTTGTTGCCATCTGCAGATTTGATAATCATTTCCTGCACTTCCTCATCCAAAGCATTGATAAAAATGTTAAGAGGACTGAACCCTGTTACTTCTCCCCAGTTTGAGAAGGTGCCATTGATGAGCACTCTTTGAGTCTGATTCTGTAGCCAATTATTGATCCACCTGATAGCTGTTCTATCTAGCCCACTTTTTCCTGCTTTGCTAATCAGAATATTGTGGGGCACTTTGTCTGAAGCCTTGCTACCAAGATAGATTATCTTCATAGCATTCCCACAGTCCATCAGGGAGGTTACCCAATCAAAAAGATGAAATTAGATTAGTCTGGTAGGATTTGTTTGAGAAATACATGTTGGTTTCTAATAATCACTGCATTGTTTTCAAGTTTATTGCCAACTGACAGCTTTATAATCTGTTCCACAATTTTTCCAGGGATTGATGTTGGACTTGACTGGTTGGCTGTTCCCAAGCTCCTGCTCCTCCTTCTCCTCTTCTTCTGTTTCTTTTTTGAAGCTACTTTAGCCCTGCACGCCATGATTTCTCAAAGATATTAAAGAGTAGTTCTGCGAGGCCTTCCACCTGCTCCTTTATGATTCTTAGATGGAGTTCTTCAGGCCCTGGAGATTTGAACTCATTCAACCCAAATAGATGATTCTTGATGATTTTCTGATCAGTCTTGAACCAACATCCTGCTCCTTCAGCTTGTACTTCCCTTTCATCAGGAAGGTCATAGATCCTTCAGGAGGAGACTGAACCAAAGTAGGAATGGAACCCTTCTGCCTTTTCTGGGGGGGGGGGGGAACACATCTGTTATCATTTTGCCATACACACTGAGTAGTGGAATCCCCATTTCTTTCCTTTGTCTTTTATTTTGGACATATCTAATGGAGGCTCTTTTGTTGTTTTTAGCCTCCTTCACTAGCCTCAATTCATTAGTTGCTTCAGCCTTCTTAATTCCACCCCTACAATTCCATGCTACCTGCCTTTGGAATGGAATGGAATGGTCACTTTCCCCCAGAGTTTCCATAGTTGCCATTTTGTTCACCGGGTCTTCCTTGATTGTGAGTTTCAAGTCAAGGATAGCTGTTCCTCTAGTTGCTTCCTCCACTTGCTCTTGCAGGAAGTTAACAGCAACACATATTGGGAATCTCGTGGATGGGCTGCATTTGCCAGAATTTGTCTCTCAACAGGTATGGGGAAACTGAAGCCCCCCTAACAACCACATCATGCCTCCTTGAAACACTTGCAATTTGCTTTTCAAAAGTATCATCTTTATCTTCTCCTTGACTGGGCAGTCAAAGAACCACTGGGTTTCCTTTATTTCTTGCTCCATTTATCTTAATCCAGATGCTCTTGATGGGGCTACTAAGCTCATCCTCCTGTAATTCTGTGCAGAGACACAGTGCCACTCCACCTACCTTTCTGTCCTTATGTTCTTCTTGAGCAAGTTATAACCTTCAATTGTTGAATTCTAGTCATTGGAGTCATCCCACCAAGTTTCAGTTATACCTATCAGGTCGTATATACCCTCCTGCATTGCAAATGCAGTGCTGAAAAAAGCAATTTCTTCATAACTGATGTCTAAACAAAGGGAAGATGTTTTGGATTGCTACAATAGCTGGATTGCAACTGTGCTTTTGTTGTCTAATATGGTGATAGCCTGGAACTATGGCCTAGTAGGAATAATACTCTGATTCTTGATAATATTGCTCTTTTCTTTGTTATCTATTATATAAAGACACAAGAAGGAAACCAGAAACATCTTGGTTCCCTTTTCAGCTCACCGTTAAGATGAAAAGTGGAAGATAATTATTTGCTTGCCAATTTTAGCTTTGGAGCTGGCTTGAGTGTGACCAATTATATGGGTGGGGGGAGGGGAGCAACAGTACGCAAAGCTACAAACTTCAGAAAAATGGTACTGACACAGCCTCTGTATTTTGGACATCAGTGCAGCTCTGCTTGCTGCACCAAACAAAGCAGGAAGTAGATTATTCACACTATCTCAGAATTTATGACTACAGTAGCCATGGTTGTAAAAGGTAACATCATTGTCTTTCCAAGAGGAAATGAATAGCATTCCTTGACAAATATCACCCAGTTCTGATTCCCCCCCCCCACCCCGCACCAGGAATTTTCACTATAGTGGTTTCTCTCTCTCATCTTTTTCAGTGCATGATGTATGTTCAATATCCCAAGGGATGGTGCCACTGCAGACGTGTCCCTGCTTCCCACTCCCCACCCTGCCACACCACCCACGCCACCTCAGAGCTGAAGGTTGTATAAAAGAAGCACAGTCAATCAAAGTACACACTTTTGTTATTTTTATCTCTGATAAACAATTTGGGTGGGTGGGGTTAATTGTGCCGTGTGCCTACACTACCTGTTTGTGCAGACAGCAGTGAAAATAAATATGAATGGATACCAGAAGTAGTGATTCCTTTAAACCACTTCCAGCTCTCCTACAAGTAGCCTATGCTAAATGTTTACACTACCCTAAGAGCGATACTCCTGCCTTAAAACAAACAAACAGCCTCTGGGTCACTGCATTTTTCACTGGTGCAGCACAACAAAGTTCAGCTGGGATTTCAGCTATAGGTTAAAATGGCATAAGAACATGCTCTTATGCATCACATGACAGAGGTCTGAAAAGCTCTTTCCCCATGGCCAGCACATGTGCTCAGCCTTATGCCGACCCCTAATCTGTCAGCAGGGTTGTGCTTAACCAGGGCTAGTTCCAGCTTCTTGAAGGCCCTTGAGCCAGTTACCTTCAATGGCCTTCTGGAAGTCCACTTTCCCACCGTCAGTGTCACCAGCTGCTATGGCTCCTCAGCTTCTTTCTCATCCTGGAAAGGCACACAAGCAGTGAGCAAGCACACAGCGGCAACTACTGCTCTTTTTGTACAGCACCAGCATGCTCTGAGCCACAGGAAGAGATGGATGAATCAGCAGGTTGAAATGGCGAAGAGCAGGAGTGACTCCAGGAGGTTCTTGCAAGTAGGCCCTTTCCGGTCTGTGCGCCTTTGGCATGTCCCTGTCCATGCCTCCTGCCCTCAAAGCCAGCCCTGTGCTGAGTGCTCCAATTCGCAGCTTACTTGTTTAGTACATAAATGTTTTGCATTTCTGGAATGATGGAATGCCAGGCAGCAATTTTGAAGTTCCCAAGTAGATTTTAATCTTGGCAAGAACCAGACTGTACCTTCTGAGCTTCTTCAAGTTACCTGTATCATGTGTCTTCAGACCATTCCTTAAGTGTTCATTACAGGCAAATGCAGATAATACATTAAAAATGCAGAGATGTCCATAGATTTCTAGTCTTGTCTATTAGCAGATTTTGTTTTTAGGCCATTATTTGGAATATGCAACCCAATTTCTACACAATCTTTGAAGTTCTTCTTGGCTCTATTCCATATTTTATTCTGACTTGCCCAGAGGACAAGCCATATTGTTCTTCTCTGACCACAATGACCTGCTAAATGAGAGACTATAGAGAATCAATGGTGTAAAGTTTGGTCTGCCAGACATAAGCTGCTGATTACGAATAATGCAAAATTCATTTTCTGCTTGTCACCAGTGCCGACCTTCTGTTTTCATGCATGACCCTTCCTATTCTGTTGGGGATGTTGATAATTACATCTCCTTGGTAGATTTATGCATATCTTGCTAAGGCATGCACACACTTTCATAAGCTAGAACTGCAAATGAACATATAAGGGTAGAACTGAAGTGCCTTTGACTCAAGCATGGACCATTATGACGCAGAAAAACAACTCTGTCTGGAGTTTGGTGACTGGGAAGTTACTTTTTTCTCTATGTGCCCTCATGTGGTAAGATCTGAGATTTAGCCCTTTTTATGGATGGTAAAGCATCTAGAATTTTTAAGAAAGTGGAAGAGAAAGTTAATTCTGATTTTTCCTCATGAGATATAAGCATGAAAATCAAGACTTAATTTGTGCCCCACCCCACCCCATTATCTGCCCAAGTTTGGTGTCTCTAACAGCAGCATGATATTCAGGAACTAGGAAGTAAGCTGGTGAATTTGCTAATCATTCTCTGTGGTATTAATAAAGTTGATAGCCCAAACACATTGTCATCTTATGAGGCAAACAAACATGTATGAACTGAACCAGGTGGTATGGTTAAACTTAGATCCTTGAGTTTCACTCATCTTCATGGAATATCAGAGTCAATATCTAGCATGCTAAAGCAGCTTCTGGAGTCCAAAGTAGTGCAGGATCTACCAATATTGAAATGCCCTTAGGTTCTCCTACCCAGTGACTGCAGACTTATCTAGAAGCAGTGGCTGAGTTTGTGACCTACCACCATTTTGCACAATGTCTTGAGGCAGAGATTGGGAATTGAAATGGGAGGGTGGGGTAGAATATATTAAGGGGTTAGTCAGTTGGATGGTAATACATCTTACTGGAAAATTCTTCCGCCCTACATGCATTAGGTGCTGTAGCCCATCAGTGATGTTTCTGTTAGTAAGCATGACACTCTCTGGCTCTTGAGTCACCTTTCTTTTAGCTTGAGATGAGGCCTCATTCACACATTCTGCGAAATGGAACCAGCTACCATATGGTAAGATTCTCTCACACAATAAACGTCATTAGGGTCAATCACATGGGTTCTTCTGATCTTATTGTTAGAAGACAAAGGGGGCACCTAGTCAAGTGGAAAGGCTCTCTTTGTATTCTTCCGCTTTTTGCAGCAGCCTAGGATCTCATAATGAAGAAGCAGCTACTTTTTCACTACATAAGTCTATCCCAACCTTGTTCTTTCCAGATAAATGGGACTATACTTTCTGGTATTTCAGACTGTTATCCTTGTTGTCTGAGCCAGATAG